CATTCTCATTTCGCTATTCCTCCTCTGCGTTCTTTCTCTTGAATGTTGTTTTTAGTTTTACGAAACATGATGACGCAAAAACGTATTAGTCGCAACGATGATGATGATGATGATGATAAATACCTTGTAGCATAACTCTATTCTGGATGTGTTTAAGCGAACAAAAGAAATCGCGCGATACGTCCCGTCGTCAAGCACGCGGCGGAGTCACTCTATATAATAATATTATTATTGTATATTTTGTGGTTTATTTAACAATAAACTATTAACAATAATGTTAACCGCCGCCTCGATCTTTTTCCATATACAAAGATTTACTGCTTAGAAAACCTGGTCCTTATCTTCGCATATTTACAAAATATATTAAATCTCTAGTAATTCTTGAGAGTTTCTTTCAAAAACTTGAATAAACAATACACTGAGAGCATATAAAAAGATTAAAGTATACCTCATTTCTAAAAGTTAGGACAAGGTTTGCATACTATATGATTTAAAATAGTCGGTTTGAAAGTACCTAAAAGTCCCACTATCCAGTCAAAAACCTCTAATAAACTTAACATTTGAACGAGAACATGCGGATCTCTTAGCTGCACTGGAAAGGATCGTTTTAATATTAAAATTGTGTCATTAAAACACACAGTATATTTATTTCAAATATAATATTTATTAAATTTATGTGTGTGTTTTAATTTCCATTCTGTAAAATCTGTTGCAATATTTAGTTCTAGATAAATATCTGTGATAAATGTCACCGATCGAGACCAGATTTCTAGAAAATGGAGAATATTTCCTTTGAAATGAAAAAAATTGTAGCAAAATAATTTTTAGAATCTTGAACGTTACAGAGATATATCCTCCAGATCTCATTAGCCGAGAAGAACTTTTCTGATCATAGCTCCGCTCACGAGTTCTTCGTCGCTGTCGCGTGGCTCGATGCACTTGCTGCTGCACAAATATTGCAACAACGGTAAACGGTACTTGCCACAAAAGTCGACGAACTTAATGTGCTCCACGCGATTATTAAAGAAAACACCTGCACAGAAAGGTAAAAATTATTTTCAAATCCAAATGTCATTTAAAAAATATTTGGTATTCTAAATTACGTTTATATTTAAACATATTTCATCTATTTCTGAAACATTATTTATTTCTGCACATTTTTCAGAAGCTTTTGATGCAGAAATCACACTCGAGTCTTTTTCTCAGTCAGTTTATTCCCTCAGGATACTACTCGACTGTGATTCGCTTCAATTAATTTTTTTTTGGGCCCTCAAAATAACACTCTGCTTAATTACGTTTACTTAGTTGCAACTATCAGCTCAATGTTTATATTGTCGTCCATCGGGTAATTAAGCATCGCTGCACAATTATAGTTTATAACGAATTATTGATAATCAAATACTGACCTTTGCATTTAGGATTGACGCAACTATGTGCACTGTTGAGATACTGCACCAGATTGTGCGGTATGCTCTCACTGTCATAGCGGATATTGGTGGTCTTGACAACGCGAGCAGCTAGTTCCAGCAACGAAGGTGGATTATGCGTCATATCGGAAACAAATCTCACCACCAATGGATTATCTCGCAAAGACAACTGCGAAAAACGAATCAGGTGTATATTGCAGAAAAAAATATGTTGATTCAAAAATAAGCACGATTAATTTGCATGAAGTTTACATTGCAAATTTAAACATTTATAATGTCCATCTTTAACTATGTCTATTAAAACTATGTTGGCTTAATTTACTCTTCTTCTTTTTTAGAGCTAAAAAAGGATAAAAGTAAATTGAAAGAAATAAAAGCTATATTCTCTGATCTATATTTATCTTCATTTCTATAAATTAACATTGATAGAAATGAAGATAAACATAGTCAGAGAATGCAGCAAAGAAATCATATTTGAAAACTTGTTTGTCCTTTGTTCCTTTAGTAAAAAAAAAAAAAACTGTTGATATATAAAAAAACTATTGATATATAAAAAAAATCAGGTGCGCTTGTGTAGAATCATTTTTAAAATACTTCAGATATTTTTCATTGCGATAAACAATGATATTAGAGGAAATCACTTATTGATTAAATTATTGATAAAATATTGAATTATTAAATTATTTATAACCAACCTCTGTAAGACATTTTAACGTTATTATCTCAGTAGGCAGTGTCCGTAATCTGTTCTTGTGAAGTGATAGAGTTTTCAGATTTGTCAAGTTAGCTATCGAGCTTGGCAGGCTCTCCAGCATGTTATCGCACAGCACGAGAGCCTGTAGAGTCTTCAATTGACCAAGAGTGGACGGTACTTCTGTCAATCTATTGTTTCCCATCGATAAAACTCGCAACCTTCAACAAACCACAATATTTAATGAAAAATACACGATGTTTTTTAATTAATTTCCTTAAATTTCTTTATTTAAAATTATACATGGCGACAAATTATTACTATTAATTTATTATATATATTACATTATTAATTCATATTTTTGCGATTACAAATTTCCAATGTAACAATTACATATTTCTCCTCAAACTTTAGGACACTGCATTAAAACGGCGAGCAACATGCGATAAACATTATTTTAGCATAATGCACTAATGAAAAAAAATAATAAAAATAATACAAGTAGTTGGCATCGTTCGTTTTAGCATAATGTTGGGAATAAAGCTTAAACGGTAATTAAAATTGATTGTACAGCTGGTGTCTCAGATAAAGCGACTTGAGAGAAAACAGTGATCGGTACAAAATCGGTACATTTGTGAATTTAATTTTCTCATTCCCCCTCCCTCTCTGTATATTATATATTCGCAGAAAATTAGATTCCTTAAAACTTCAATTCTTGAAACGGGCAATTACCTTTGTAACTTCCAAATGTCCTTGGTAATCTCGCTGATATGATTGCCGCCCAGGTAGAGATACCTCAGGCCGATTAAATCTAGAATCTGATCGGGAAATTCCGTGAGTCTATTACCGCTCAAATTGAGTTCCCTCAAACTGCTGAGATTCTCAAAATCTTTCGTCAGTCCGTCATTGGCAAGATTGTTGTGTTTCGCAATTAGGCATGTCAGAGGACAGTCCGTCCAGAAGTCCGGCAATTTGGTGAGGCCGCAGCTCGAGATGTCGAGGGAAGTCAAGCTGGTGAATCTGCTGATGCTCGTGGGAACGATTGTGAGAAGATTCTGACTCAGTAGCAGAGTATCCACTTGCTCCGGGCATTTGGTATTGAGGAATTGTTTGTCTAACACTTCGTTGTCCAGTAACAGGTAGGACAGGTCCAGTGTCCTCAAAGCGGAATCCGAGTCGCTCGAATCTGACGTGTAATTCTCCATGACCAAGCTTTAACATTTAATTTTATTTCAATGTTGCTTATTCGCTGTTTTTCACACATTATTCATACAGAAAAGAGCGTAAATATATTTATAAATGTCATAAAAATATACATAAATATATATAAATTTATATAAATAATATATGATATGATAAATATATAATTTATATATATATGTATATATATATATAAATTTATAAATGTTAATAAATAATTTACAACATTAATATTTTTAAATTTTCATGATGTTAACATGATAGATTACAACGTTAAAATGAAATTTATGACAATAACACATTATATTTATATATAAACTTCACAGTATGCAGAATTAACTCCCGTATTGATTTTGATTGTCTCGTCACGATTATCCAACTGTTTCTCTGTAAAACGGCAAGGAAGTTTATATGATCACAAATGAAAAAAATGATAATTTTGTATAAAACTGCGTCGTCATTATTGTAATCGCATAAATACGACAGAAAAACACCAAAATGTAAATAATGGATGTGTATCTTTCATCACTTACCGAGTAACATGACTATGTAGATTTATATTCAACATGTTATCATACGTTCGACGCATATCGAAGTAATTATAAAAGATCGATAAATTCGTAAAAGGTCATTGCTGAAAGAAAATATACAATAAATGGCCAAATGATTACTGTTATGTTGCAATGATTTTTGGCCGGTCCATGAAAAATAATACGATTAAAGATTTGAATATTCTTCATTCTGTATTCTTAAACTATAATTTCGTTATTAATTTTTTTTTTTTTTTTTTTTTCCTTATGAAAAACACGCACACGCGCATGTTCATCGTGCATTCAATGTCAATAATTAATTATCAGACATCGATAAGATTCTGATAAAGAAAAATCATCAGGCAAATCACGCTGTTGTTGGCAAAATTTCAAAAATACACAGTGTTTCAAAATCAAAGTATATTTTTAATGAAAAAAAAATTGTCACACAAGTTAAAGTTCATTATTACGAAATTATTTGATAAAATCATGCCTTTAATAGAATTACTTTTCTCATCATGAGAAAAAGATATGAAAGATTTATATAGAAAAATGTAAAATTCGATCGATCGATTACACATTTTGTTTACAATTTGTATGGCTTAAGCAACAACCTTTCTTCATTCTTCGATATAAAATTCTCGCCCTACGTTGTATCACACCGTTAAAATATTTAAAGATAAAAAATTTAAAGATAAAAGAACAAATGATGAAAAGATGAATTCAAGCACGAGCGGACGTTTGAAGTTCGCGCGTTAGCGCTGCGCGCGAATTGGCAGGGCGATTCTCGTGACGTCACAAGATGAAAACCGTCTGGTTGCACGGAGCACCGCACGGAACACCGCACTTACTTATTACTCGTTTTGGCTGCGCGTGGAAGACGATGTAATTTGCGACCCTCCGCTCGTCTAGCGACTTCTCGAAGAGGTGACTTACGCGATGCGTAGATGCTTAATGTCGTACGAGCGACTCTTACGGAGGCGGCACGAGCGGAACGACGATTAATCGAACACGCGGAGATCGGCGGCGCTACGAATCGCGACCGCGTGACATCTGCGCTTTATCAGCCCAAGTTGTCTTTATCCATCATCGCCTATCATCGCCGCTGCCTCGCTCGCGAGCGGTTCTCCCCGCCAGGCGTTATTGCAACCAATCCTAAATATATCATTATTAAGGCCTATCCAGACGGATTTGCGTCAAAGAATCACATGAGATATACTCGGAGAAATTAAGCGAATCACGTGTACGTCAGATGGCGGCCATCTTTAAGAATGCGCCATACACAGCATACGATTTTACTTTCTCCATAATTCACATATACTCGCGTGCGATTTAATGTGGAAACTTTGCGTCGTAGATTAAAATAAGACAAATTTTTTTATGTAAATGAAAATTTTTTTTATTTTGATGAATAATATTTTTCTCGGGAATGCTTTTAATGTCAAATATATTCAAATTTAAATTTAAATTAATAATATACTATATTAGTGAGAAATTTAATTTTATTTGAAATGTTTCAATTTAATTCTATTTTGAGGTATTTGAATAATTTGCACATAATTGAGAATCGGCAACGTTCATATCATGCTCAAAACACCAGTTCTCGTCCGATCACTGAAGTTAAGTAGCATCGAGCACGGTTAGTACTTGGATGGGTGACCACTTGGGAACACCGTGTGACGTTGTCACTTTTTTCTTCTTTTTTTTATAGAATTAAATCATTTCTCTTTTAAATTATTAAAAAATTATTTGATTATATTTTATATTTTATAAATATTATTTTTCCTATAAGTATTTCGACTCTTACTTAAAATAAACAAATTTTCATTATAAAAACATGAAATATTATGTTTTAATTATAAAATAAATTCAAAAGCTTTAAGTTTTAATAATTATATGTCGTAGAAGTTATATAATATGGAAATGAGGAATCGACAACATCCATACCGCGCTGAAAGCACCAGTTCTCGTCCGATCACTGAAGTTAAGCAGCGCTGGGCATGGTTAGTACTTGGATGGGTGACCGCTTGGGAACACCGTGTGACGTTGTCACTTTTTCTTTTTTTTTTAGAATTAAATCAATTTCTCTTTTGAATTATTAGAAAATTATTTGATTATATTTTATATTTTTTATAAATATTATTTTTCTTTATTTATAAAACCAAATCATTTCTAATTCGAATTATTAGAATTATTCAATCTTATAATTTATTAAAATTTTTATTTTTAGATTTTTATCATGAAAGTTGAACATAAAAGTAGATTTTTCTTTCTCTCTTTTGTTATACAAAATGTATTAATATTTTAGAATAACCAAGATAGTATCGTAGTGTTTGAAAATATATAAGAGAATTATATTATATTTAAGCAAGATTAGCAAGTAATGCGTTATTTATAATGCTTATTGCCGTTACAATTTTTTTTGGACAAACTGATAACGCTGTTATTTTTTTTTTTTTTTATAGTAACTGTAACTATAACATAATTACATTTTTTCAGTAACGCTAATTTAATAGTTTATCGTTACTTCTATATTCTTCTTTCTATATTTTGAATCTATTTATGATATAATTTTTATATTCAATGTTCGGTCTTCGATCAATATTCATAGTTCGTTGTTATATTTAAAAATCTTTTAAATTTAAATTTAAAAATTTTAAGAATAGTTTATCATAAACCAATCACAAGAACAGATATATAAATACTTGTCAAAAATTTGTAAACAGAAAATTAAGGATAGAAAAAGTAAATTGCTGCAAATATTGTATTTAATAAAAATCACAATCTTTTTTATTTGCTTTCTAACTAAAATCTTGAACTTTTTGTAGCCTTACGAATTTTATATAAAAAATTTTATTATTTTTATAAAAATAATTTAACAAAAAATATGAGAAAAATTAATTTTTTATTTAATCTAATTTCGTCTTAGTATTAAAAGGCGAGGAGAAGAGCATATCGTTTCGTTTTATGTAATGATAACATGATTTTATATTTAGAAAATTTTTTAATACATATTTAAATATTATATCATATTTTATATATCTTGTAATAATAGAGAAATAAGTATTAATACAATCTTTATCGCTCAGTAATGTAAATCTTGTATCTGTGACATTTTTAGTATGATTAAAATGTCGACAAATTATTAACGCGCATTTAAAAATACATTATTTAAAGGACAGCTGTCTAAAATAAAGGATTATCCTTAAAAATAAAGACTGGTATGGTCACCATAGCTATAGGCCACGTTAAAGCACTTTTATCGATAAAAAAGATTTACAAGATATGGACCTCCTCTTTAACATAAGAGGATATCATGATAATGATGAAGATGAGAAAGTCGACAGTGCTGCACTCTGCTTCAAGATGCATAGGTTTGAATTGAGCTTCCAATACACATGTTGTATGATTCTTTGAGGAGGTTAAAAGATGTGAAGTTATGAATGTTGAAGAGGAACGTGGAAAAAGATAGAAAAATTTCTTGATAAAGTCAAGTTTTCAAAAACAGAGTAAATGACGTTGTTATACAAGTTGCATCAACCATTACGGTCTTGTTATAAAATTCACAGAAAAGCATATTTTTTGTCAAGACAATTTTGCAATACTAGAAAAGTAGTTCCTTTAAACGTTATTATCAATGAATATCCAGACATCTACGAGAAAATAAAAGGAGACGTATCGAATGTACAATGGAAAAGCATACGAGAAAGAATACTTCAGAAACAAGAAATAATCACACCAGCCATTGTAGACTCAATAATCATAAATATGTGCCTTAAAAGCACCAATTTGGACAATGCTATCGCGTATTTTAAGTTCTTGAGAGAAAACAATTATCCTCTAAACACAGCAGTGATTGGAAAATATCTCCGACTCTACGTTCTAAAAGAGAACTTAACTGACGCAGATAAAACAGAAATTATAGAAACTTATAACACTTTAAAGCAAAACCATCCGTACTTGGATTATTTTACAGCTGAACAATGCATAATAAGCATATGTTTGACGGACGAATGGGAGAAAGCGTACGAGATAATAGAAATGATAAAGATGACGTCTAGCCCAGGTATCATTGTATATTCCGCATTAATTGGTGCTGCATTTAGAAATGGAAAACCTAATATTGCATGGGAAACACTGTCATATATATTGTCACGCAAGATGACTCCACAAAGTATTGTATATAAGTCGCATCTACAATACTGTCAGATGGATGATGGAAAAGCTTTCAATAGTAGAATGGAAGAAATGTTTAATGTATGGCTTAAATACAACACAACTCCATTTAATGAAATTATAAATATTTATGCTGATACGGCTGTCAAGTATGGTTGGTCCATAGCACTCAAGCCGATTCCCAAAAAAACGTTTGTTATTTTTTCATTATTCTAACATATGATTTATTTTAATTTAGTAATTTAATAGTTTAGATAATTATACAGGAATTTAACAGTAAAAGATAAATTTTTTTTAATTATAATCAATTTTTTAATTTTTTTAAATTTAATAAATGAAATTAATATCTTATATCAATGGATAAATTTTTAACTAGAACATATTTATTCTTATTTATTAGAGGAAACTGTATACATTGCCACTCTTCCTTGGCCAAAGTAACGTTTACTAAAGAAAATTTCCAAAAACTGACAGAGTCTGTGATAGATAAATTAATCATAGGATCAGATATTTATCGTAATACTAATCCAAAAGAATTGGATAAGTTCAAGCAATTTATTGAAAAGACTAAACCTTACGATATAGTGATTGATGGGCTTAATTTGGCATATATTCATACCAAGAAATTACCAAAGTTATTATCGGTAATAATGCATATTGCTTTTATTAAAATGAAACATGTTGATATAGTAATAAATATATGGGAAATGTAAAATTTATTTATTTATTTTACAGTTTATTTATTTATTTTACAGTTGGTTAGAGTGGTCGAGTATTTCAGTGATTGCAGAAAAAAGATACTTGTGGTGACGCGAAAGCATCATGAAAAGTTGCCTATTTTTAAACGCATAAAACAACAAGCTACTGTCTTTTTACTAGATGATTTGTAAGTATTGAATTTCACCAAATAGTTTCTCCGTGTTATAATCATAACAATTTTAAAAGTACATGATAAAAATAAAAATTATATAATATATAAAATTTTAGATCTGCTGACGACCCCTATATACTCTATGCAACCATGGCAAGTGGGTTGAATGCAAAATTTGTCTCACTGGACTTAATGCGACAGCATAAATACTCCTTGAAAGATCCGCATTTGCAACAGGAATTTAAGAAGTGGCAGTTTTCGCATCAATACTTTGTCAAGACAAGTTTAACTGGCATTCGTATCCAAGAACCTGTTGAATATGTGTCGACTGTGCAAAAGAATGACAACACTTGGCACATACCATATATTAACGAGAAAATTATTAATACAAACTTACATGAATTTCCAGACAACTGGTTCTGCTTTAAGTATAATAAGAGAAAATAAATTATGTGAAGACAATTTTCATACAATTTTCTGTTAAATATCACAAATATTTATATCAATCATCAGATATAATTAAAGATTTTGATGTCTATTCTTATAGACATATATCATATTTTTATGTAATTTTACAAAAGGTGTCATAGATTATATATTATTATTTGTGCTATTGCAATTAGTGAATTTTAAAAACTAGCTTTCTAATTTGTTATGAAAATTTAATAACAAAATTTATAAATAATAAAAGTTTTCATAACAGAAGTACTTTTAGTTTTTTAAATTTGAGTTTGAGAACAAAATTGGAAATGGCGCATAATTTAATAGTGTAAATATCAGGCTTGTTCTTTATCGCTAATCTTGTATAGTTTATTACTCCTTACATTAATTTTTATATTGGCTCCTTCTTTTTTATATTGGGCCAACACAGTACCTTGCATAGTTCGTTTTATTTATTTTCTTTTTTCAGCATAAAAAGAAAAAGAGAAAAGATAAACTATGCAAGTTCAATTAAAAAGAACAAACTTACTTATAGCCTATAATAATTTCATCACATAACAGAAAACTAGACGATGATTGGCTACCGCGTTATCGCTTTGCCGCGGTCTGTGTCCAACCAGCCTAAGCTATAAGAAATTGACCAATCATAGTCGAAGAATAGAAGAATAATCGACTATGATTGGTCAATTTCTTATGGCAAAATACAAATACAATTCCATACAAGACATTGTCCAATTTATCTTCGATTAATTCCTCGGGCTAAGTATACACGAGTATAAAAATGATTAATTAATTACAATTAATTGAATAACTCACAAATCTTTTTAATTGCAATTTCAAATCTCTTCATACAAAATACAAACTGACTTAAAATAATAATTCTTTGAACCGACATATTTCTCTTTCGGGTCGTAAGTGTATACGAATCGAATTGAAGACTTCGATGGAAACTAGACCAGTGGCGCGATACGGCATTGCGCTCAGTACAAAATGGTCGACTGGTGCCTTCGGCCATGTCGTTGACGGTGGGTCTGCCGACGCGAGACTGCGTTATTCCGCGCCACTGAAGGAGCCCCGCCGTGACCGGATCAGAGACGTGCTCCGGGGAACGCTGACGTTGCGCGACGCCAAATGGCTGTCGCGGGATAGAGGGTCGCGGCTTGGGTACGTATCCCGCGGATGCGCTGATCGCGTGGGACGCGGGATCGACGGTGGATCGTCGCGGATCCACCTGTCAATATCTCTGGCGCGTCTGCACAAAGTGCACGCGCGC